CTCAAGTGATCCACCCACCTCAGCCTCCCAAAGTGCTGGGATTATAGACATGAGGGAAGAACGAGAGAGAGAGAAAGAAGAGAAAGGAAGGAAAGGAACGAAAGGAAAGAAAGGAAAGAGAAGAAGGAAAGAAAGAAGAAAGAAGGAAGGAAAGAAAGAAGGAAGGAAAGAAAAGGAAGGAAGGAAAGAAAAGGAAGGAAGGAAGGGAGGGAGGGAGGGAGAGAGGGAGGGAAGATTGTTTTTATTTCTTCTGTCCCTTAAGATGTGAGAAAAGATTCTAACTTCATAAACAAGCCACCATCTTCTCCAGAGTCAGGGCATCTAGAAATGTGAACAGCCCATGAGTTGTGAGCAAAAAAGGCTTTGATGAAAATGCTTTAAAAACTCAGGGCCAGAGACAGGGGTGTGCGTCTGTGACCCCAGCTACTTGGGAGGCTGAGGGAGCTCATATGAGCAAGAGGCTGAAAAACCCAAAATTAGAGTGAGGAAGAGCATGGAACAGCAGCTTCCCAGCTGAGATGATGAGCCCCCACCTCAACTCAGACAGAAGAGTTAAGGGGAAACAGACCTCAGATGAGAAAACTAAGCGAAGACATACATATGACAACCACAGAAAGAAGTCCCTCAGGGCTGGCTGGACTGAGACGCTGGCAGAGCGGGCAAGATGAGGGCCTGGGTGCAGCAGCCGTGATGCCCACCTCAGGGAGGATTGTAGACAAGTCAGAACCCACACTAGGGAAAAGAACCCTGGAAACGAGGGGAGGTCACCAGAGTTCCAACATCAAGTGTTCCTTGGATTTTTGTTAAGCCAAGTCTACATGCTGACATCTAAACACTTTACCATGGGACCCACTAAATGCACTAGGGAATGTATGACTGGAAGACTGATATTGTTAAGATGTCAATACCACCCAAAGTGATCTATGGATCCAATGCAATTCTTATCAAAATACCAATGATTTCTTTTGCAGAAATAGGAAAATCCACTCTAAAATTCATATGGAAATTCAAGGAAACCCCAACAGCCAAATCACCTTGAAAAAGCTGGAAAAGTCACGCTTCCTGACTTCAGAATTTACCACAAAGCTACGGTCATCAAAACAGTGTGGTGCTGACGAAAGGACAGACATATAGACCATGGGGATAGCAGAGAATCCTGAAGCAAACCCTCCTGTATCCAGCATAGACTACTGACAAGGGTCCCAAGACCATTCAGAGGGGAAAAGACAGTCTTTTCAGCAGATGGCACTGGGACCAGTAGATATGGCTATGCAAAAGAACGTGAAGTTGGACCTTGCCTCATTCCACATATAAAAATTAACTCAAAATCAAAGACCTAGACATAAGACCTAAAACTATAAATCTCTTAAAACAGAAGGGGAAAGCTTCATGACACTGGATTTGGCAATGATCTCCTGAATAAGACACCAAAGGCACAGGAAATGAAAGAAAAATAAATGCGACTTCATGACAAATGTTAAAATGTGTGCATTAAAAGACACATCACAGAGTGAACGGGAGGAAACATTTTCAAATCACGTATCTGATAAGGGATGAATATCCAGAAATTCCTAAAACTCAACAAAAAATAAACAACCCAATTCAAAACTGGTTAAAATGCTCAGACAGACAATTCTTCCAAAGTACAAATGCTCATTAAACACAGAAATGCAAATCCAAACTATGATGTTACCTTCAAACCCATTAGAATGGCTACCAAAAAATACTAACAAAAATTAAAAAAATGTTGGTGAGGATGTGGAAACCCCGAACTCTTGTGCACCACAAGCAGGAACGTAAAAA